ACTGTGCAGAGTGAGCTGACAGCTGGACAGATCTACTGACAGACAGATGATGTGGCCTCTCCACATGGAAGCAGACCAGGACTGATTCCAGCCAAAATAACACCAGGAGCTAGGACAGAGTTCAGAAGGAGAGGGTACAGAAAGTAGCTCGTACACTGGAGCAAAGGGCTAACAGCGCTTTCCGAGCGCCGGCCGGGCACGAGAGGCCCCGCGGTCTGGAAAGGGCTCCCCAGGGCCTCTCTTAGTCACCCTTTTGGCCTGCTCATCTCCTGGCTTTCTCGCTGCTGTTTCAGTCCATGCTCCCTCCGCTCCGCAAGCTCTTAAGCTAAAGCAGTCTGACATTTTACCTCGTGCCCTGCTCAGACTTCTGGGGTCTCCTTGCTCTCAGGATAAAGCACACACTCCCTGGCAGGTATACAGGTCTTTCTGCACACAGTGTGGTCCCAAGCTATCCTGAGTCGGTCCTCGTAGGCCCTTCCTCGAGTTTCATTCCCCAAATGATGTTCGTTCTTGTCTTCCTGTGCCTCGGCTCAGGATTTCCCTTCACCCCTGTGCTGCCCAGCCAACTAGTCTCCAAGCTTCTCCACAGGCATTACCTCCTTTTTCTTTGAGATATTTCCTGTCTCTAAGTGCTCTTATGTCTGTAGGGAAGAACTTCCTCGATCTTTGTACCTGCTATGCCTGTCACATTTCACCTAAAGGTGAAACACTGAAATTATGAAACAGGTCTATACTTACACTGCAGGTGCTACGTTTGTCACACCAAGGGTTATCATTAGCTGTCTTTTTGAACAGCCGAGATGTCACCTTGTCTATTAAGGACCAGTTTTCAAGACTAGATTGTTTTACTTCTTTCTATCTTGGGGTTTCTAGAAAAGTAGGTTTTACAAAGGATAGATGGGCTATCTCTTTGTGAATGCTGCCACCTTGTGGCCACAGGTAGAAGTTCTTGGGGTATTTTGAGACATAGTCTCTGGCAATCACTACGGTAACCTAAGATGGCCTCATATGGCAATCCTCCTGTTTCAGCTTTCCAAATGTTGGGATTACAGATGCGGACTTCCAAGTCTTGCTTTGGAAGAGACTTGAATTTGAAGGGAGAACAGCTAGGACAAAGATCAGAGGAAGAAAATCTAATAATGCTTGGAAGAGGTCAAGCATCAGTGTGGTCAGAACCCAGAGTGCAAGAACCAAGTCAAAGATGGACAGAGACAGCAGGCAAGGGATCTGTTAAGGCTAACCCTTGAGTAAATCTGGACCTCGTCCTCTAATCTGGGAATGGAGGGCCAAGGGAACAGGGATTGACAGTCTGATCTAGGCGTGTCCACACTTGGAGGCTCAACATTCCTCCCTTCATTGAATGATTACTGTACACCTACTGTGTGCAAACCATGTTCAAGATTCCTAGGTTACTTCAGCGAATAAAGCAGACATCTGGGACTCACGCTCTAACCAGATGAGAAATAAAAGTTCTATTTTATTTCATTTATATCTTATTTTTAACTCTTTGTGTATTTTTTCCTTGCATTTATATCTGTGTGCCACATACATGCCTGGTGCTGGAGGAGGCCAGAAGAGGGCGCCAGATCCTCCAGGACTGGAGTTACAGATGGCTGTGAGCCACCATGTGGTTTCTAGGAGTCAAACCAGAGTCCTCTGAAGAGCAGCCAGTGCTTTTGCCCACCGAGTCACCTCTCCAGGTTCCCAAAATACTATTTTAAAGAGGCAAATTATATTTAGGAGGTGAAAAAACGCATGACAAAAGGGGCAGGGCTGCTAAGATTGCTCCCTGGGTAAAGCACTTGCTGGTAAGCTTGAGACCTAGGTTTGACTCCGGGCTCCCACTTGATGGAAGGAGACAAACGAGTCTCACGAGTTGTCCTGTGACCTCTGTGCGCTAAAGCCCACCCATGTCTACACACCCAATAAATAAACGGAGAAGTGGAAACCACCTTTTCAACTGCTGGCTTCCAGAACTGTGAGCGGTGTCTGCTGCTGTGAGCTATCCAGTCATAACCAGCCCCATGAAACTAACACAGCTAACTTTCCTACCACTCTGGCCTTCCACCCCGCCACCCCAGACAGCTCCTGACAATCCCAGGCCACAGAAACCTGTGCTCCTCTCTCAGCTCTCCTGCCGACTCGGTGTGGGGAGGTCGTACTCCCTGGTCACTGTCGTCATTTTTCCTGCCTCACCCAGTGTGGAGGGCAGCCTCACCTATCTTGTGGATACTGCTGGAGCTCACATTCTGCTACCGAAGCTCCAAGTTCATAGTCATCAGCCTGCACGGGGCTTAAGCCTTGTTGGGTCACGTCGTCTCTCCCAGTTGCAAGTCTTCAGACTTCCTGACGCTTCCCATCCTTGCCTCATGATGACAGGGCTTCTGAACTCTCGTATCCGTCACCTCCACATCATCGAGTACTTGCTTGCCCTCAACTCTTCCCTTCTGTTACAGGAAGTCATCTTTGCTCCTACTTCCATTTTTAAATTTGTCTATTGTGCATATGCATGGAGCAAGGAAACTGGGAGTCAGCCTTCTTTTTCCACATGGGCTCTGGGATTGAAATCAGGTCAAGCTTGGTGATGACAGTCCATCCTCTGAGCCACCTCACTGACCCCTATTCCTACATGTATGTCTGTGAAGCGCATGTGGGCCTGGTGCCTGCTGAGGTCACAATAGAGTATCAGATGCCCTGAGATTGGGGTTATAGACAGTTGTGAGCTGCACGGTGGGTCCTAGGAATTGAACAAGTGGTTTGTTTTGTTTTTTCTTATTTATGTATATGGGTGTTTCATCTGCTTGTACATCTGCACCCCAGAAGAGGGCAGCAGATCTCACTGGGACTATAGTTAAAGTTCATTGTGGCTGCTGGGAATGAACCTGGGTTCTCTGGAGGAGCAGAGCTCTTAACTGCGTGCTAATTCCCCACCCGATTCTGCCTTTGGAGAGGGATATCCTCACATCTGCCTACCCTTTGTCCCAACGGGAAGCTTTTGTAAGGCCTTATGGAAGCAGTGAATTAAGGAGAAATGGGGACGTAAAGAATCATGTACAAGCACCGGGTTCTCTCCTAAGCGTGAGCTCACTTCCAGGCTTCATCTCTGGCTCCCTCCTGGGCAGTCCTCAAGACATCAGGGCCAGGCTGACTCTCCAGGTGCCAAAGGTTAGGGGACATCCTAGAACCTGAACTCTCAGGATTCTGAGCACAGCTGCTTCCCTCCCCACTCCCTTCTGGAACTCTCGGGCGAATTCTAGGTAAGCAGCCCAGTTGATCTCCAGAGCTCACAGCCACCCTACTCAATCACCCCTCCAGCTGCACTATTGTGTTTATTACATGGATCTCTTCAACCTGCCAAAGCAAAGTGATCAGGACACCAGGTCAAAACAATATGAATAGTCTGCCGGGCAGTGGTGGCGCACACCTTTAATCCAAGCACTTGGGAGGCAGAGGCAGGCGCATCTCTGTGAGTTCAAGGCCTGCCTGATCTACAAAGTGACTTCCAGGACAGGCTCCAAATCTACACAGACAAACCCTGTCCCTAAAAACAAAAAAAAGTATCAATAATCTATAAGGAAATGTGACCCAAAGTTCTGAGACTGTGACACTGACAGCTGCCGACAGCAAAATACACACAATGAAGATATTCAGAGCAGGGCACGGTGGCGCACTTGTTGAAGACAGTTGGTAGAAGCTGAGGAGCCGAAGCCTTGAATTTAGCTGAAAGCTCCAGGTCAGGCAGCTGTAGTCAGGCAGTGTAGCACAGCACAGCAGCCTCACTGTCTTCAGCAGTTATGTTACATTAAAAGGGCCTGGTAGAGTAGCTACTGAGATTTTACCTCTCGATATCCTGACTTGCCCCTTCCCCTCCAGCCCCTCCTCACTGAGGGACAGACACCTTGGATAGATAGCAAAGGACGTAGTGTTTAAAGACCGGGCCACAAGTTCCAAGCCCTACAGTCACTCAGCCCTCCTTGAAGCCCATATCAAGTTCTGAATCTCCCCAACTTTAAGCCATCATGCCAATCTCTCCTGCCCAGACTGAGAAAAACTACCTAGCGCCTTCAACTAGCTGGATCCTGCTACATGAACCCAGCGGAGCCCCAACTTTATTTGCTTGTAATTAGACATCCAGGTTACTAGACACACTGGAGAAAATCTTGATTCACAGTGTAGCTGATCAACTCTTGAGACCACTGGTGCTTACAATCCCACTCTATTACCCGGAGCCAACTGACCACCAATACAACCATTCTCTCTTCAGATGCCTTCAGTAAATCTGAATCCAAGGGCAGAAAAACCAGCAATGGAAAAAAGAATGACACCCAAAGAAAGATGGGGGATTGAGGTCTACTTTCAAGATAAAAAAACAGCACATCTGTAAACTTAAGTCACTCATAACATTTATATAGCATGAGGTGGTATCTGGGTGTCAGATATGTACACCTCTTTACAAGAACACTAATGCGGCAGCTGGAGATGACTCAGCAGTTAAGAGCATCTTTCAGAGGTCCTGGGTTCAATTCTCAGCACCCACCTGGCAGCTCACAACTGTCTGTAACTCAGTTCCAGGAGATCTGACACCCTCATACCAATGAACGTAAAATAAATTTAAGTAATTTTAAAAAGAATGCTAATGAGGTAAACACTCTACACCCCATTTTACAGATGAGAGCACTGAGATCCAGGAAGTAGCTTTATCCGAAACCACAAAGCAGTAACTTGTAAACCGGAGAGCCAGGATTAAAACTGTGACAGGCAAAGCTGAGTTCATGATCTCACTATTCTAAAACACACGCCACAGACGGGAGAGATGCCTCACCTGGCTGAGTCCCAAACCATGAAAGCGGGTGGCAAAAAGCCATCCAGGTGACTGCTTGAAATTTACTGACACCAGATCCACCCAGCAGCAGGCTCCGCCTACCCTTCCGGCCTCCAGCCCGTGAGCTGTGGGGCCAGGCGGGCCTCACACTCCTCCAATCCCACTCAAACACAGCAGGTCAAACAAACGGGCACCACCTTTATTTCCCTTCCCTAGACTGATGTCAAAAAAGGCAAGTCAGACACTCTGTGGACAGAGCAAGCCCTTCTGAAGCAGTGACCCATGGCCTGCATCCTTCACAGCAGTGCCGTCCCTCATGCCAGGGGGACGGGAGCAGGACTCCAGGGGACTCAAGCCTTGCTGGCATGGTGGGTGTCACACCGGTGCTTCTTACAGAAGGCACAGAGTCAGGTCTAGAGTACAGGCAGGCTCAGCAGGTCTTCAGGACCGGGTGTCCCGAGCCCTTCTTCGGGGTCTGGGACCAGAGCTAGGTATGGAGCCCAGGCCGGGGGGCGCTCCTGGGGGTTGGTAACCACATTCACTGGGGTCCAAGGGGTCCCGACTGAGTAGCACCCACACTGCAGGCACGTGGCGCCGAACCGTGAGGGGGTCCAGGCCTGTGTCTGGTGAGGTTGGGACCCAGCTGTCCTCAGTTTGCAGGAATCGAAGCTTGGTGAGTTGGTGGAGGCCAGGAACCCGCCGTTTGACAATCTCTGCACAGCTGACAGCTTTCCCTGCAGCCCGACCGGCACCTGAGAACACCACGTGCCTGGTGCTTCCCCCCTCCAGGCGACCCAGGGCCAGCCCCAGAAGGTTCCGGATTTTGCTCCCATCTCGGACTCGCATTTCCAGGGTGTCAGGAGGCAGCTGGGGCACTGGTGAAGACGCCGGGAGCTCCACGGAGCCAGCCCTCCGGTAGTGTTCCATTCTGCTCCGTGGCCTCGGTGAATCTCTCCTGCTGTGCGCTGGGGGAAAGGGTCAGATGACGGGAGGACTACGACCAGGCCCATTCCCATCTCTCCCTCCAGGATACACCCCTCACCCTATCTTCTCAAGGCTGGGCCAAGAATGATCCCTAGACCCTTCTCTAAACACTTGTGCGAGTCTTACACGGAAGGAACCAAACTCCCCCCACACCAGGCTACCCGGGATAGGGCCATGCTTCATAGTTCAAACTTTCTCAGGGCTAGGCCAGACCCCTCCTCACCCACAACTCTCTAAGAGAAGACCTTTCCTCACTAGGCTGCTAAGGACTGGGTCAAGCCTCCTCACTTTGTGCTTCCAGGGAACAGAACCAAGGCTCTTGGCCCCTGGGTGCGCAGCCACGAACTCTCAAAAGTTGTCCCTAAAGAAAGAACCGGCCCCTCCGGGCTCTAGGCCGGGCTGAGTAGCCCTCATCCTTAGATAACCAGGGTTGGCTGGCGTGAGCCAGGCCATTCTGGAACTCGAGAGTGCGGGCTCGCACAGACGACTGCTCCGACCAAACGCGGACGGCCTGGCGGGCTCCCCCGCCGCTGTCCCAGGCAGCAGACACCCCCTTCCCCACGTCTGAGTACCCAGGCCCTAGGGTTTGGTTCTTACCACTGTTGCCAATCCACGCTCGACCCTCACGGACTAGCCAAGATGGCGCGCAGACCGGGAGCGCGCGGGCCCGCGGGGCCGCGCACGCAGGGGGCGGGGCCTGAGGGAAACCCGGAACGCCGTTGGGCTCCGCTGAGCTGGTACCCGCAGCTCGCCCGCATCCAGCGGTCCGCTCGGTGATGCCGAAGCACGCCAGTGCCGGCACAGGGCCCTGCCCGGGAGAGGAAGGAGTCCTGCGCATGAAGAATGCGAATTTGTGCCCTTAAACGATGGATGGCGCGCGTCACCTGTTGACACACAGCATCGGTGAAGGTGAAGCTGAAGCGTTGGTGGATACAAGCAGGCGAGACGGAGTTCCGAGCTTTGTTCTCCTCCTGGGGCACCGGACAACCCTGGCAGTCTTCAGTATGGACGAAGCCATACATAGCTTGTGCACAACTCATTGGCCATAGATTGGCGTATATGCTGGGAGGATCCGGTAGTGGGGGCAGCAGATACTGGTGACCTTGGGAAGGGCCAGTACCATACACCGTCATAACGCTTCGGCCGCGGGGATGGAGGGTGCTCACGGAGCCTAGTGCAGTATCCAGAGTCAAACAGGCTCTCCGGTATTTTGTCCAATGATATGTTGATTAACCACCGAAACGGCAAGAATCGAGAAGAGATTAACTTGGTAAAAACTCGTAGGAAGTTCTGGGGAAGAGCCGGGAACTATTTATTGGACTAGTCTAGGATGACAGCTAGTTTCAGATCGTTTTGGGCAAGCTGCATTTTACGTGCCAGCAACACTACAGGCAGTTGAAGGAGCCGAGGCACTCCCTCAGACCACAAGAGGGCAGCATACACTTGGTGGAACACGGTGCTTAAACTGTTCATCCAAGCTTTCCCAACACGGTTCCTTGCTCCTCCTTCCCAGGTCCTAAAATTGACTACATTCAAACCTCTTGGGCTCCTCTTCTGGTATTAGGTAGACACAGGGCTCTGCTGCCTTGGCTCTGACCATCCTGGCAGGTTGAGCTCCACCTGGTAGGTCTTCCCCCAATCCCTATACACAGATGAGGCGACCCTACCTGTGCACTCCTTACCTGCCATAGGATCTGATACTTAGAGGGTAGTTGGCAAATGTGGGATAAGTAAATATAGAATGCCCCTCTGTATCAATCAGATGAGAGAGTGCCACATCTCTCAGCAAGCTCAACAGGGGGACAGTTCCAGGTCCCACCCTGATAAGTATTGACAGCTCTTCCCTTTGCCACCCCAGATCTCACAGCCAAGTCCATCCTAGATCAGTAAGCCACACACTCCTTCAGTGGTCTCTACAGTTTATTGTCATTGGAATAAATACACTGATGGGGAGTGCGGGTCATGACTGGGGTAACCTGCTCCGACCTCAGAGCCCTGGCTGAGCAGACAGGAAGTCTCTGGACTGAACCTCTGCCTCACGAAGCCAGGGCGGCACAGGGCCCTGGTGCTGGCTCCCTTCCGCTGGCCTGGCACGTAAGCCGCTGTCATTCTTCTGCTGGCTTCACTTGCTTGGCAGCCTGAAGCTGGCAGAGTAGTTCATCCCACTGCACGAACTGCTTGGAGAGAAGCAGTGTCTGGTCACAAGTCAAGGGGACAACAGGGTCTGAATGAGGACGCACAGAGACTGGGATGGGCGCATTAGGGGCAGCAGAAACAGGCTTTGGGAGAGGACCCACTAGGCACAAAAGATACAGTCTTGTTATATTCCTCCAGGAGAGCCTTGGACTCCTCAGTGATCTCCATACACTGGTCCTGCAGGCCAAAGCATAGCTTAGAAAGGAGTGGAATAAAGCCCTATGTCCCACTGAACTCCCTCCCTCCAAACCTAGAAAAGATGTGCTTAAATAACCTACAGCAAAAGGAGCAAACTGCAAAACGGGCACTTCCAATCCTAGGCCAGGTGCCCGAAACAGCAGCCACAGACTAACTGGAGAGGCAGTTTTTATTTATTTGGATTTTATGTGTTAGGGTGTTTTGCCTGTATGTGTGTGTACCATGTACATGCAGTACCCAAAAAGACCAGAAGAGGGCGTCGGATCCTCTGGGATTGGAGTTACACAGAAGTGGTTTTTTTTGTGACCATATGGCTGTTGGGAACTGAATCCAGACCCTCAGCAAGAGGAGCAAGTAATCCTAGGGGCCAAGCCATCTCTCCAGCCCCTTTGTCCCTATTTCTAAAAAGTCTTTGAACTTGAGAAAAGATATATCACCCATAGTCAAAAACAAATTCCCAGGGATTATTTGGTACCTCTCAACTTCAACCTCTATTCTAGAAAGCAAGAGCCCTGGATGTGGCCCTCGGCAAGTCCTTTCCCATCCCCAGGGCATTGAGAAATCCAAGATACAGCTCCATGTGGCCTCTGCTGACAAGGATCCAGGAGTCCTCTCCATCCCCCAACCCCGTGCCAGCAGACATGGCGCCTCCTCATTTCCACCTTCCCTTCAAGCCCTCGCTCCTTCCTTCCTTCCGTACCTGCTGCTGGATGTGGATCTGGGCCAAGCGCTGCAGGCGGGCAGCATGCTCAGGAACAGCTGTAAAACACAACACACACCGCCCAATGATGTTTGTGCCCCCCCCCGCCCCCGGGACTGCTCAATAGTCTATTAGGTCGTTGGCAGGATTAGAGTATTGAGTGGAGAAGCTAAACAAACGCCGGGCTTCATCGACCCCTGAAAGATGGAGGTGGTGGAAGGGCTCCCCTGCCCACCCCAGCCTTACTCCAGGACCCATGGGGTGGGGGCGAGGGGGGGGGAGAACAGGCACCCAGAAGACAGAACCTTACAGTCCTCAGTATTGCTTGCTATGAGCAGGGCCAGGAAAAGAGAGCTTTACCTATTACGGGCCCTACCCCTTTTGCCCTCAGCCCAGCAGGACTAGGTCTTCCCAGCCTCAAGTGCTTAGGTGGGCTGGGAATGAATACCAGGTCCCTTCCCTGGCCCCTGGGCTCCCACGCTGAGAGCCTTGGCCACCATGTTATGCTGCAGCTTTGGGCTGTCAGATACTCAGGCGGGTAGCTGATCAGGGCAGGGAGTGGGAGCTGAGAGAAATACCTCTAGAGACAGACAAGATGGATATCTGGATTCAATTAAAGCCGCTGCCTGCCTGTCAAAGCCCAGGCTCAGGGACTCTTTCAAGAGTCCAGCAAGAAAAACTCACACACCCGGCAGGAGGTCTGACAATAAAATCTGGGCTCTGCAGCACCCTGAAGGAGACACTAGGAGGGTAGAAAGGAGTCTCCAGAGTTGGGACCGCTGGAGCTTGTGCTAGTGTCCTTGGGCCCAAACTGCCCGAGGTCCTGAACCTAGGCTCTTACTCGGGAATTTCAGCCACAGTTAAAAGAACAGATCCAGCATTCCTACAGGGAACCCTTGGCCCCACCAGCCACCTTCCCACGCACAAGCGCGAGCTGCAACCACAGAGGGTACCTTTGATAGAAGCACTGTCCAGCATGGGCACCAAGGCATCCACTTGTTCCAAGAGGGCCACCTGGGAAAGGAGGAACTGCTCCTCTGCAGCACAGAGACAAGAGGACAGCAGTGAGGGCACACGGGCCAGGCTACAGCTGTGAACACGTGGACAGACAGCTGGGCCCCAGAGCTCTGAGCAGCAACTGTGCCGCTGGTCCCCTCCCCTGGGCGTTCATCCTCGTCCTACCTGGCCTTTTCTGGGTGCCTCTGCCTAACCCATCTTGAGCCTAAGAGCATCTCAGTCTCGACAAATCCCTACTCCAAGTTTTAACTCCAGATCCTTCTCTTCCATCCTCTTACTGACGACCCCTTAGCAAGTAGTCCTAAGCCACAGGACACGGCTTCCCTAAGCCAAAGGTCCCAGGAAAGACCTGAAAGGAGACATGCAGCAGACTGTATCGGGCAAGTTCTGCTCATCTGCCCTCTACAAATGGCAGAGCGCTGAGAAGGAATGGGAGAGGCCAGTGCGGAGAGTGGCAGGGTCTGGGTTCATCATGTACAAGGGGTTTCAGCACTGGAATCAGGACTCGAGGGCAAGGTTGTCGTGTGCAAACCACTGGAGAAAGGGACACTGGGGAATCAGAAGGAAAGGATTCACTGGCTGGGCGGACTGTTGTATCCTAGCAAACAGAGGAAGACGCTGCGGCTGTGTGCAGGCCAAGTGACACGGCAGAAATGTTTGTGAAGGTGGGGCAACATACAAGATGGAAGGGATGGCGTCGGAGACTGCGCAACTGTCCATGCACATGTAAGCGGATGCCTACTTCCCGAGGCAGAGCTCAGGAGGCAGGGGGAGGCCCACCAGCCCTTGCACTCGGTGTCTGAGCCCTCTCGGAAGGAGCTGCCCCTCCTCCCCCAGTCCTCAGTTACAGTACAGCTGTCATTCGCCCAGACAGGTTAAAGCTCAGGTTCCTAAACAATGATCCCTGCTGTGTTCATGAGGACACAAGGCTTTCTGATTCGCTACTGTGTATCTCGTCCCAGAATAAAGCCTGGTTCAGAGTATATGATCCTGTTTCCCTTTAATTTATTTTTCTTTCCTTATCCTCTTTTGAGACAGGATCATGTCATGTTGACTCAGGTTAGCTTTGAACTTGTAATCCTCTTGCCTCAGTCTCCTAAGTACTTAGGACTCTAACACATGCCCACCTTGGTGTCTTCTGGATGAATGAACGGACACAGGTGCTCAGAAAACTCTACCTGTGGAGTGGGTGACTGTCTAGAGCCTCTGCATAGATGCTCAAGGCTCAGAGCTCTCTCCCAGGAAAGACGCTGACCTTTCGGGGAAAGCCACCCTCTGCCATAATGGCAAGCACAAAGGGAAGCTGCCGTATGTTCTCTCGACCTTTTAGAAATAAGCAGTGGGGCTGGAGAGAGAGCTCAGCAGTAAAGAGCTCCTGCTCTAGCCGGGTAGTGGTGACACACGCCTTTGGAGGCAGAGGCAGGCGGATCTCTGTGAGTTCAAGGCCAGCCTGGTCTATAAGAGCTAGTTCCACCTCCAAAACTACAGAGAAACTCTGTCTTGGAAAGAGAGAGAGACAGAAAGACAGAGAGAGAGAAAGAGAGAGAGAGAGAGGGAGGGAGGGAGGGAGGGAGGGAGGGAGGGAGGGAGGGAGGGAGGGAGGGAGGGAGGGAGGACTTGTTCCAAGACAGTTAGGGTTACACAGGAAAGCCCTGTCTGGAAAAACAAAATAACAACAAAAAAACCTCCTGCTATTCCAGAGACTCAAGCCCAGTTTCCAGCACCCATGTCGGGTGGCTTACAACTACTTGTAATTCGAGCTTCAGGGAGACACGATGCCTCTGGCCTCGGTGGCACCTGCTCATGTGCACACACCTGTACTTAGACACACCAACACATGGTTAAAAATAATAAATCTTAAAAAAGGAAGAAAAAAACCCCCAAAAACCAACCAACTCACCGACAAATTGTTCCACATATATGTTAACCTATAGTATGGTATTTTGGACATTAAGGGAATAGATACTGTTCAAAAAGGAATGCCCTGTGCTACCATGGCAAAACAGGGAGAGTCACAGTGTCACTTGGCATGCTGTTGGCATTGTTGTAGACAGCTAAGGGCAAAGTTCTTGCCGAGAGAATTAGTGTGTGACCTGCACACCAAACACTATAAGAGCTGAGGCAGCTTCCAGAAATGGGTGATAGAAAATGATCAAAAGAGGAAGTCAGAGAAAGGCACCTGGGTCCAACCGGAGCAGCAGGCTGCCCCCAAGAGAGGCACACCGCATGAGACTGTGAGGGAGGCCTGAGCACCACAGACCATCGCCTATGCACTTGCTAGGACTTCATGTACAAAGAGAAAGGATACACACTGGGAAGATCAAGAGACCAACTCAGGCCAATGCTCTGCCTTCTCCAGTGCCCACTCCTTCCAGGAAGATTACAAAGGAAAATCCTAGGGGTGGGCCTTTGATAGAATATTGAAGTAGAGTCCACACTGCACTACAGCAGGTCCAGAGGTTACTACACCCAGTGCTGACTACAAAACTCACAGGATCACCTTGGGCCCCAGTCCAGAGCCAGGTCAGCATTCAAGAAAGTAGTTGGGGACTGGAAAGATGGCTCAGAGGTTAAGAGCACTGACTGTTCTTCCAGAGGTCCTGAGTTCAATTCCCAGCAACCACATGGTGGCTCACAACCATCTGTAATGCAAATTGGTGCCCTCTTATGGTCTGAGCAGAACACTGCATACATAATAAATAAATAATTAAAAAAAAAAAGAAAAAGTAGTTGACAGGCTGTATGCGTAACAAGCTAGAAGCCATCACTGCCTGACTCCTCCACAAACAATACCTTCAGGTGCCTGTGCACACACAGTCTAGCATTACCTGCTAAGATGAATTGCAACTTTGAGGCATCAGGTATGGCGATGCGATCAATGTATTCGGGGTCCAGGTATTTGATCAGGTCTTCAACTAGCAAAGCAGCAAGACAGAAAAAACAGAAATGGAACCTTATTTTATAAAGGAAATTTAGAGGCTGGCAAAATGGTTGAACAGGTAAAGGTAACTGCTACCAAGTCTGATGGCCTGCGTTTGATCCCTGGAATTTACATGGCAAAAGGAGAATTGACTCCCACAGGCTGTCTCCAACCCCCCCCCCCCCCCAGGATACATAAATGTTAGAAAAAAAATTAAATGAAGTTTGGGTAGACCCTTGAGTTACGAGCTGACCACATAGTGGTCATCAGCAGCATCCACTGGGTCCCCTACTCTACCCCACAGATCATCCGTAACATCATCTGCGGGCTGACCTCATGCTGCGGGGCCCAAAATACAAGTGCTCCCTCCCACCACCACTCTGCCCCCCAAGTATCCCACTGATGTGGTCTCACCAAGTGCTGCCACCAACCACTCTGCCCCCGCCACCCCCCCAAGTATCCCACTGACCTATTTTCACCAAGGCACCTTTCTCCTCAATGCAACAAGACAAGCCAGGGTTTTGTCTAATTTCCAGTTACTGAGAAAATTAATTGCTACAATAATTTAAAACATTTGGCTAAACCAACCTTGCCTAAAGAAATGTCTCCCCCTATCCCCTTCCTCCACTAAGGGAAGCCGTGTGAAAGAACTTTCAGCCTACAACTCTGGACACTGGACACAGGCTTGGGATTTATCCATAAGAAAGCACGCCCCAACTTACCACATCAACAGTAATATGCCTTCTATCCTCAAGGGGCTATTCTAGTGATGTTCTGCTGAAGGGCAGGGACACAGACTTGGGAGGCGGTGTGACTGCACACCTACTATAGGTACTTACTCTTTTTGTAGAGAATCTTCACCCTCTCCCGCTTACTGGCAATGTTCCCTAAAGCCACCTGCACCTTGACCAGACCATCAGCCACCTGGAAGGAGGGAGGTAGAGGTTAATTCCAAGGTATACTACTTGGCTCAAGACTCAGAAGATGTGATGGGTTTAATCCCAGCACTCCGGAGGCAGAGGCAGGCAGATGTCTGTGAATTGGAGGCCAACCTGATCTACAAGCTTCAGGACAGCCAAGGCTACTTAATAAAGACTTTCTCTAAAAAAAAAAAAAAAGACATGGAAGAACCCTTGTTTCTCTGGATTCCAATAGTTTAGTCTCCCTTCTCCTGCATTACAGACAGCACAGTCTCACCTCCAGGGACACTTTAATGTGGAAGGGGAGGAGCTGAATCATGTTACCCTTGGCAGGACTCGGGTGGCAGCGTGTGTCTGACTGGGGATGTAATGAACTAGTTTAAGGTTTAATGGGGCACCCTGACATGCTATGTATTTTCTGGTTCCTAAATCCTGGGCTTGGATGTGAACTATGCAATTATCCTCACCCAGTTCTTCTTTAGCCCAAGGCTGGAGGACAGACTGGTTGGCCTTCCTCTAGCCCCATTCCCTCTACCTCAAGTCTGGTACAGGAGAGGGAAGACTCGCTAGGATCCCAAGGATGGCGCAGTCCTCATCTTAGAAAAAAACAGATGAAAACCAGCTTCGGGCAGAGTACAGTTAAGGGTTTGAGCTTGAGATGTCTGCAGAATATACCAGAGGACAAGCCCACCATACAAACATCAGTAAGCTTCACAGAGTAGAAAAATCAGGAACAGAGACACCAAACAAGTAACAAACTACGGAAGCCAAAGAGCCTGCCAGGGCTTAAGAGTACAATATTCCATCAGTCAGGCTCTTAAGAGTACAATATTCCAACAGTCAGGCTCTTAAGAGTACAATATTCCAACAGTCAGGCTCTTAAGAGTACAATATTCCAACAGTCAGGTTCTTAAGAGTACAATATTCCAACAGTCAGGCTCTTAAGAGTACAATATTTCCCAAAACAATACAGAGAAACCCTGTCCCGTAAAAAAAAAAGAGTACAATATTCCAACAGTCAGGCTCTTAAGAGTACACTATTCCAACAGTCAGGCTCTTAAGAGTACAATATTCCAACACTCAGGCTCTTAAGAGTACAATATTCCAACAGTCAGGCTCTTAAGAGTACAACATTCCAACAGTCATGCTCTTAAGAGTACAATATTCCAACAGTCAGGCTCTTAAGAGTACAATATTCCAACACTCAGGCTCTTAAGAGTAGAATATTCCAACACTCAGGCTCTTAAGAGTACACTATTCCAACAGTCAGGCTCTTAAGAGTACAATATTCCAACAGTCAGGCTCTTAAGAGTACAATATTCCAACAGTCAGGCTCTTAAGAGTACACTATTCCAACAGTCAGGCTCTTAAGAGTACACTATTCCAACAGTCAGGCTCTTAAGAGTACACTATTCCAACAGTCAGGCTCTTAAGAGTACAATATTCCAACAGTCAGGCTCTTAAGAGTACAATATTCCAACAGTCAGGCTCTTAAGAGTACACTATTCCAACAGTCAGGCTCTTAAGAGTACAATATTCCAACACTCAGGCTCTTAAGAGTACAACATTCCAACAGTCAGGCTCTTAAGAGTACACTATTCCAACAGTCAGGCTCTTAAGAGTACAACATTCCAACAGTCAGGCTCTTAAGAGTACAATATTCCAACAGTCAGGCTTTTAAGAGTACAATATTCCAACACTCAGGCTCTTAAGAGTACAATATTCCAACACTCAGGCTCTTAAGAGTACAACATTCCAACACTCAGGCTCTTAAGAGTACAATATTCCAACAGTCAGGCTCTTAAGAGTACACTATTCCAACAGTCAGGCTCTTAAGAGTACACTATTCCAACAGTCAGGCTCTTAAGAGTACAATATTCCAACACTCAGGCTCTTAAGAGTACAATATTCCAACAGTCAGGCTCTTAAGAGTACAATATTCCAACAGTCAGGCTCTTAAGAGTACACTATTCCAACAGTCAGGCTCTTAAGAGTACAATATTCCAACACTCAGGCTCTTAAGAGTACAACATTCCAACACTCAGGCTCTTAAGAGTACAATATTCCAACAGTCAGGCTCTTAAGAGTACACTATTCCAACAGTCATGCTCTTAAGAGTACACTATTCCAACAGTCAGGCTCTTAAGAGTACACTATTCCAACAGTCAGGCTCTTAAGAGTACAATATTCCAACAGTCAGGCTCTTAAGAGTACACTATTCCAACAGTCAGGCTCTTAAGAGTACAACATTCCAACAGTCAGGCTCTTAAGAGTACAATATTCCAACACTCAGGCTCTTAAGAGTACAATATTCCAACACTCAGGCTCTTAAGAGTACACTATTCCAACAGTCAGGCTCTTAAGAGTACAACATTCCAACAGTCATGGTCTTAAGAGTACAATATTCCAACAGTCATGGTCTTAAGAGTACAATATTCCAACAGTCAGGCTTTTAAGAGTACAATATTCCAACACTCAGGCTCTTAAGAGTACAATATTCCAACACTCAGGCTCTTAAGAGTACAACATTCCAACACTCAGGCTCTTAAGAGTACAATATTCCAACACTCAGGCTCTTAAGAGTACAACATTCCAACACTCAGGCTCTTAAGAGTACACTATTCCAACAGTCAGGCTCTTAAGAGTACACTATTCCAACAGTCAGGCTCTTAAGAGTACAACATTCCAACAGTCAGGCTCTTAAGAGTACAATATTCCAACACTCAGGCTCTTAAGAGTACAATATTCCAACACTCAGGCTCTTAAGAGTACAACATTCCAACACTCAGGCTCTTAAGAGTACAATATTCCAACACTCAGGCTCTTAAGAGTACAACATTCCAACACTCAGGCTCTTAAGAGTACACTATTCCAACAGTCAGGCTCTTAAGAGTACACTATTCCAACAGTCAGGCTCTTAAGAGTACAACATTCCAACAGTCAGGCTCTTAAGAGTACAATATTCCAACACTCAGGCTCTTAAGAGTACAATATTCCAACACTCAGGCTCTTAAGAGTACAATATTCCAACACTCAGGCTCTTAAGAGTACACTATTCCAACAGTCAGGCTCTTAAGAGTACACTATTCCAACAGTCATGCTCTTAAGAGTACAATATTCCAACAGTCATGCTCTTAAGAGTACACTATTCCAACAGTCATGCTCTTAAGAGTACAATATTCCAACAGTCAGGCTCTTAAGAGTACAATATTCCGGAGATACTCTTCAACGAGTTGGTACAGGAGACCACTTCCTAAACATAACACCAGTGGCACAGGCACTGAGATCAACAATTAACAAATGGGACCTTCTGAAACTAAAAAGCTTCTGTAAGGCAAAGGACACAATCAAAAAGACAAAAAGGCAGGCCACAGAATGGGAAAAGATATTCACTAACCCTACATCTGACAGAGGGCTAATCTCCAAAATTTACAAAGAACTCAAGAAACAAGTCTCCAAAACACCAAAGGATCCACTTGAAAGGTGGGGTACAGAGCTAAATAGAGAATTCTCAGTAGAGGAGGCTAAAATGGCCAAGAGACACTTAAGAAAGTGCTCAACATCCTTAGCCATCAGGGAAATGCAAATCAAAACAACTCTGAGATACCATCTTACTCCTGTCAGAATGGCTAGAATCAAAAACACCGAAGACAATTTATGCTGGAGGGGATGTGGAGAGAGAGGAACACTCCTCCACTGCTGGTGGGAATGCCAACTCATACAGCCTCTTTGGAAATCAGTATGGAGATTCCTCAGGAAAATGGGAATTAATCTACCACTAGACCCAGCAATTCCACTCTTAGGCATTTATCCAAATGAGGCAGGTTCATACAACAAGGGCATCTGCTCCACTATGTTCATAGCAGCATTGTTTGTAATAGCCAGAACCTGGAAGCAACCTAGATGCCCCTCAACTGAAGAGTGGATAGAGAAAATGTGGTACATTTACACAATGGAGTATTACTCAGCAGAAAAAAACAATGGAATCTTGAAATTCGCAGGGAAATGGATAGCACTGGAAGAAACCATCCTGAGTGAGGTAACCCAGTCGCAAAAAGACAAACATGGTATGTACTCACTCATATATGGATTTTAGATATGGATCAGGATAGTGCCAGTCTGCACTTCCACAGATAGAGAGTCTGGGAAACAGGAAAGAACCTAAAAGATATGCATATATGCATAATACCCAAGAGAAGAGGATGGAGACAAGATCCTCTGAATGGATGGGGAACAGGGCGAGGGGGTAGTGGGACCTGGGAAGAATAGAGGGGGTAAAGAGGAAGGGAGTTGGTCATGGGGGAACAGGAAGTTGAGGGGGTGGGGGTAGAATAGGGGGAAGAGGGAATCATAGGATCGAAGACAGATCAGGCACCAGAGTGACCTCGAGTGATCTAAAGGTATAACATCAATTGGCAAGCTAAGCAATAGTGGAAGGACCACCTCGAATGCCCATTCCTGATAATGAACTTGATGTCTATAACTATCCGGGAGCCTTCATCCTGGGACTGATGGAAGCAGAGGCAAACACACAACTAAGCACTGAACTGAACCCAAGGAACCCAGTGACAGAGAGAGAGGAATGATGAGCAAATTGGCAAAGAATGGGCTGGCAAAACCAGCAGAGACAGCTGATCTGAACAGGGGAGTGCTCTTGGACCCCAGACCGACAGTGGGGAGGCCAGAATGGGACTGATCTGGACCCCCCAAATGTGAGTGTCAGTGAGAAGGCCTGGACAACCTATGGGGCTCTGAGCTGTGGATCAGTGTCTATCCCTGGTATACAATCTGTCTTCATGTGCCTATAGCACAAAGAGAGATGCTCTCTCAGCCTGGACTCTTAGGGGAGTGCCTTGACCCTACCAAGAGTAAAATGATAGACTCTAGACATTCCCTATGTGGAAGGATTTGGCAATAGGGTGGGAGGGAGGGTGGAAGGGGAGTGCGGGAGGAGGGGAGGGAGAGGGAACTGGGATTGACATGTAAAACAAGCTATTTAAAATTAAAATAAAAAAAAGAGTACAATATTCCAACAGTCATGCTCTTAAGAGTACAATATTCCAACAGTCATGCTCTTAAGAGTACACTATTCCAACAGTCATGCTCTTAACAGTACAATATTCCAACAGTCAGGCTCTTAAGAGTACACTATTCCAACAGTCAGGCTCTTAAGAGTACACTATTCCAACAGTCAGGCTCTTAAGAGTACACTATTCCAACAGTCATGCTCTTAAGAGTACAATATTCCAACAGTCATGCTCTTAAGAGTACACTATTCCAACAGTCAGGCTCTTAAGAGTACACTATTCCAACAGTCATGCTCTTAAGAGTACACTATTCCAACAGTCAGGCTCTTAAGAGTACACTATTCCAACAGTCAGGCTCTTAAGAGTACAACATTCCAACAGTCAGGCTCTTAAGAGTACAATATTCCAACAGTCAGGCTTTTAAGAGTACAATATTCCAACACTCAGGCTCTTAAGAGTACAATATTCCAACAGTCAGGCTCTTAAGAGTACACTATTCCAACAGTCAGGCTCTTAAGAGTACACTATTCCAACAGTCATGCTCTTAAGAGTACAATATTCCAACAGTCATGCTCTTAAGAGTACACTATTCCAACAGTCAGGCTCTTAAGAGTACAATATTCCAACAGTCATGCTCTTAAGAGTACACTATTCCAACAGTCAGGCTCTTAAGAGTACACTATTCCAACAGTCAGGCTCTTAAGAGTACAACATTCCAACAGTCAGGCTCTTAAGAGTACAATATTCCAACAGTCAGGCTTTTAAGAGTACAATATTCCAACACTCAGGCTCTTAAGAGTACAATATTCCAACAGTCAGGCTCTTAAGAGTACACTATTCCAACAGTCAGGCTCTTAAGAGTACAATATTCCAACAGTCAGGCTCTTAAGAGTACACTATTCCAACAGTCAGGCTCTTAAGAGTACACTATTCCAACACTCAGGCTCTTAAGAGTACACTATTCCAACACTCAGGCTCTTAAGAGTACACTATTCCAACAGTCAGGCTCTTAAGAGTACACTATTCCAACAGTCAGGGTCAGCTAGAGGGTGAGGCTGAGGAATGGATGGGTTCAGCCAAGGCCTTTGTTTTTGCAGAAGGTGAAGAACACTAATATTCAAGGGACAAGTACACGGGGGTGGGCACACACAAATAAGACTGGTAGTAGCAGCAGGGAGAAAAGGAAAATCAGGAGTGTTTTTAAAAAGCTGGTTCTCAAGTGGGAACACAATCTGCTGGTACAAAAAGTACACAGACCTTTGATGTAGTTAGCTCCAGAGCATTCCTGACACTACCAGAAATTCTCCGATAAACGGTTTCCACATCGTAAAAGAGGATCTAAGGGCACCTAAGCTTTTTTGTAAAAATTCAGACAGTATGTTCGTTCGCCCACATCTGAACACCTAGGACTCAGTTCCTAACCCTTCTTGACTGGGCCTGCTCAACTCTCACCTTGGAGGCTTCTTTATCCACCTGTGCTCAGCCTGTAGGGCTCCGGTTCCCCGCGCAATTCATTGAGCAATTAATTTATCGGGGCTCCAGAACCACACTCCACTGCGGCCTTCAGCTCTTACTGAAACTCCCATTAATCAGTTTTTAAATGTGTCTGGTCTCCTTAGCGCGCCTGTGAGCGCAAGGGTGGAGTTTCAGCAAAAGTTGTCACTGAGCCCTTCTCAAACAGGCTTAAACATTCGCCCCCCCCACCCCCGCTCATCCGAGTCCCATCGGGAACGGACCCCAAAGGTCCGATTCTTTCCAGGAGGTCCCGGATCTTTGTTATTTCAAAGGCTGGGCTGGCGACGACGGGACAGACGCAGACGTATTCGTCCCGAGGGCAGGGCTAGTGGACCGCTCCTGTCCTGCCCCAGGAACGGATCCCTGGACCGGACCGCTCACCTTCCTGGAGCCTCGGGTCCCGCCCGGCCCGTACACCCAGCGCTCCAGCTCCTCCACTCGGGACTGCAGCCGCTGCACATCAGTCAAAGCCGCCATCACTTCTGCAGCCGGGTGTCAGCCACCCGAAACAGCCGGAGGGTGGGACGTCCGCCCAAATAAGAAGTCCGGCCAATCCTAGAGCACCGTTGCTCCTTGCAGGAACTGACGTCACGATTTAGGCTTTGGATGTCGGAAGTGACCCGACCGATGGCAAAGCAACCTGGTTACCTAGGTAACGTCCTGGGTCTTGGCACTAGCCTGGTTTCCAGGGCCTAGCTGTCAAGACTTTTTTAATTCCAGGATACAGAGTCTTTTCCACCCCCATTCCCTGAGGGTGCGCGTATTCATACACCCACTATTCCAAGATAGGTTCATACCCACCCAAAACAAAAAAGGTGAGCACAAGTGTCCAGATTCTCAGAAAAGCCACACACATCCCACGCCACACACCACTAATCAGAAGGCAGCTTCCTGGGGGAGACCCCATGAGTGTTTGGAATCTTAAAGGTTCAAGTGAATTGCACCGAAGCCCCTTACTGTTAGACCTTAACACCAGTCTGATTTGGGTCCGAGCTCTGCGTGGCGGTACTAAGAGAGCAAGTAAGAGGACGCCTGCACGTCTGAGACCAGCCTGCTCTACACAGTGATTTCAGGACCGGTCCAGGGACAACTTGGTGAAAGCCTGCTTTATTTGTCTTAAAGGTGCTCTTCTATTCTTAGGGAGCTTTGCTCTTCTTGGTGAAAGCCTGCTTTATTTGTTTTAAAAGTGCTCTTCAGTTCTTAGGGAGCTTTGCTCTTCTGCCTTCCACTTGGACAGCTCAACGTAGCCTGCACACCCTTCACCTCCCAGACCCAAGCAAGAAGGGGAGGCCAGGGAGACGGAGGAAGTACAACTTTATTTTCCAGAGGCGACTTAAAGGGACGTCTTCACATTCAAACCCAATCCTTCACCTGCCCCCTGAAAAGGAGCAGAGTTGACTCAAAGAGGTGGGTACCAAAGATGACACTGACATGGGGGTCACATGAGGAGACCACAGGGGTTGCTGGGGGAAGAACTCTTTGGTAGATGCTGCTGGGATCAGCGATGGAGGTGGTGTCCTCCTTTTACAATGAGGTAGAGGGGACATGAATAAGAAACCCCTTTGGTGTGGAGGTGGCATGCTGTCATCTCCCAGGACTGGGTCCCGGAGGGGGCAGCACAGCCTGAGAGGATCAAGGTGGGGGGTACCTTCCCTCCCCTGCAATGATACCGGGACTCTTGACTCCCAACAGCCGCTTTCAGGGCTAGGTGCTAGAAGGGGGCCCTGCCGAGGGCGGAGCTGGAGGATTGGTTGGGCCCAAGGAAGCTGGCACAGGCTGGCGGCGAGCAAAGAGGATACCTGATAAAGGGGTGAAGAAACAGTAAAATGCAAACACGCACAGGAGCGGGGGAGGGGGACCCAAAACAGAAAAGGTGAGCACAGGTGTCTGGATTCTTAAGAGACCCACACACCACTGATGACAAGTCCCTCTGGTCAGTGAGAAGCTCCTATGCCAATGTTGATACCCTTACGTGGGTAAAGAATAAATACTAACACGGAGACCCGCGACAAAGCAGACCACTCATGGCAATCATACCGCAGAGATCATGCTGTGACCCCATGCCATTTAGACATTCTCCTTAACCCGTTTTAGTGTAACAATCCTCTGAACCCCCATGCAAGTTCAGATACCCCTGAACCTCATGCTGGTAGAGAAAAATCTAAAGTCTCCATGCCAGTCTAAATCCCAACTCCATGCCAGTGTAGACAGCCTATAGCACCCATACCAGTGTAGACCACCCCATTGATCTCTAGCGCCATGTTGATACTGCTGATGCCACTGCCTGCCAGACTGAGAGGCCCATCCAATCGCTCTTCTGTCCAGAAGAAGGCAGGGGAGTCACGTTTTGGGGAATCAGATCTCACACATAGACTCCTCCCTTTTTCCTACAGATAGCCCCCCATTTCACTTGAACCCCATACCAGGATTATGTGGCTGTCTATGCAAGGATCTGCCTGTACCACCTCCAACATCCATCAAACGAAGCCTGTCTTCCCTCGGTACACGAGCCCAGAGCCCTTTACTAACAAGCTCTTCCTCACCCCTTAGAGGAACCTTGCCACGAGGCAGGAAACTGGGGGATGCGCCCAGCCCAGGTGGGTCCATGGAGCCCATCAGCACAGCCCTCTTCTCTGGAGGCTCCTCTGGTGCCGGCTTCTCCCGTGCAGCCTCCAAGGCTAAGCCCACAGGTACTGCCAGACGAGGGGGTGGAACCCCAGTCTCCTCTGGGGAAAAAAACAAAAAACAAAAATCAAACCCTAAACCAAACAGGTCACTAGGCTCCTCTGGCCCAACCAACCTGTGATTCTCCCCTAACCCTGGGACCAAGAGAGGTCACGCAGGTTGATAAGTAGGCTCAGTCTCTCCTTCCATCCAGGGCCTCTGAAAATGTGAATAAAGGACCAGCATATCGGTTCAGGCTGGTTTATTTCAGAGAATGTGAAAGGTCTCCTTGCTCTTTGTTGTTAAATGACCCAAGCCACAGGAGTAGCAAACTACATCCAAATGCCCTATGTGGCCGGCTGTGGAATAAATACAGCTGCTGTGGATAAAGGGCCTTCTGGGGTCTCATGGCTTTCTCGACCTCAAGGCTCAGAATCACTAACTTAGAGATTCCAAAATCTCCTACGGCATCAGATCTTGCTGCTCTCATATCGCAATGCTTCCCACGCCTGAGTCCCGTATATTCTGGTATTCCCTGTGTTCCAGTGCTTGCCTAGATCTCAGAGACAACACCCAAACTCCGCCTTCTCCCCTCGCACCTTTCTTTACCGGGCTCGGGCTCAATTGCGCGCACGCGTGCACAGGCAAGCCGGATGCAGAACCCTGGGCGGGACCTGGGCAGCTCGGGGTCGAGGCCGGGGCGGGGCCATGACCCGAGGGGGGACCAGGAGCGCCCCGAGGTGTCGGCCCTGCTAAGCTGAAGAGCGGGACCGTGGTGTAAGCCTGGCGACGGCCCTCACGCCGATTGCTGTCTATGGCAGCTTGGAGCTCCCCTGGGGAACTGAGTGCCCGCGTCTCGCACTCGTATGGGTATAAATACTTCATGTACCTAGGGGCAGACAGATGGGCCGTGGGAGGCTGGACCCAGCGGATCGTCCCACCCCGCCCCGCGCTTCACTCCCCCGCCCCGGGCTTCACTGGCCCGCCCCACCCAGCCCCTCTTGCTCCGCCCCTGTGCCCGTCCGTGCCCAGAGCGCTCCTCACTGGGTGCGTAGTGTAAAGGCGGCAGAGGTGATGGTGGTTGGCAAACTGAGGCCGCGTGTGACTTCTCGCCACACTTTTCGGTTGATGACTTCCACCAGGCCACCCTTGGCTGTCACCAAGCGAAACAACGCATACAGGTCCAGCACCTGTTTGGCCATGATGGGCACCCGGTTCACTGGCGTTCCTGGTGTGAAATGGGTAGAAAATCAGGGTACCAACATTAGGCCTCATCTGAGGTCATCTCGGGTGACTGACGGGTATCTCCACGAGGCTTGGGTAAGGACAGGACCCACAAAGGGATTGTGGGGGAGTGCTAGGATTACAGGCAGGACCCCGTGTGGCAGGAAGGACAGGGGACTACGACAAGAAACCAGCTTAGTTGACCTGTGAGGGGCAGAAGATAAATATTAAGACTTTGTGGGCCAAAAAGGGTACCTGTCACAAATACCCAATTCTGCAACTGTACCCCGAGAAGAGTCTTAGAAGACATCTAAGAGGATGGGCATGGCTATGCTCCAATGAAACTTTTATTCACAGGCTTTGAAATTAGAACCGCACAGCCTGTAAATGTTTTGCCTGTTTTACAAATATGTAAAAAAAGAAAAAAAAGAAAAAAAAAGGAAAGAAAGAAAGAAAGAAAAAAGAGAAAGAAATGTCACTCTAATCTACCATACAGGATTCCGTCTGAGAACTTTAGCTTGCTGGGCGGACTGTAGGAAGGACTTCTGTATGTACTGAAGAGGGTTAGTCCCCGGGCAACAACCCCCAATGCTGCAGGAAGCCAGGGGACAGCAGGTGCAGAAGAGTCAGCTCCTGCCTGGGCCAGTCAACTCCTCAGCCTAGCCACCCCCGCCAGCCAGTCCTGACAAAGGGGCCTGTCTGAGCTGAGCGATGGGACCCAGTTAATTCCTTACCGATCCCCAGCCCCTTCCACCAGCGCCTTTGGACCCGAACAATTAGCTGCGGCCTGATTAATGGGGGGAAATTATCGGCCCCGAGAGACCTCCTCCCCCTGCAGCTGAGCAGAGGGAGGCAGAGCTCGGGGTGTGGGCAGTGCTGTCAGACCACGCCACCCCATTACCAGCAGAGAGAAGGTGCCCCGGAAGGTGCAGGGAGGGAACACTACCATAGCCAAGTCTCCTTGGGGAGCAAGAAAGCCTGGGGTCCTCACACAGGGCTCTTAGTAAGGAAGGGGCCAGAAAAGGTTGCTGAGCCTTGGGTTGAGGACCGGGGAGACTGGGAGGGGGGCAGTGCAGCCAGTTAATTAGCAGCTTATCAGGCTGCGCTCTGAGTGAGTTAATTAGCTTTGTAGAGAGAGATAATGAGTCAGTGTTCAGTCCCATGAATCTGGGGAGAAGCGGGAGTGACGGACTGCTGCCCACCCTCATCCCTCCCGGACCCCTTCTGTATTCTTTCAACACTGGGATTTTTCTGGAGAGGAATTTCCTCTCCACTGCCCAGTTCACGTGGCCCCAGCACGTCCTTCGGGAAAGCCTTCCTTCAGTCTAATCCTATTCCTTCCTGCTGCAGAACAGGTCGGGAGTGCCCTGGGCTAAAGCAAAAGGAAGCGGGGTAGAGAGATGAGGCTGGAGGAAGGGTGTACTGTACACAACCAAGGATTCTGGGACCCTCCTATTTCAAGCCAGCCCTGACCAGTCCCCCCCCCACCTTCCTAATTGATCTCACACTGATTAACCTGCCTGTGGGCTGGGCACTAATTAATCCCTGGTGGAGAAGGGGGTCAGGGTCAGAGGTTAAAGATACCATTGAGAGCCCAGAGGACAGATGCCACCGCCCCGGGGCCTCTGCAGGGAGGACCTCATGTGGGGACTACACCTTGAGGTCTCCCTTCCTCAAAGCTAGTCAATAGGAGAGGTTTCAGGGTACTTCCACGCCACTTTACTCACCCCTCTTCTGCATGAAGCTAAACAGGTCATCCAGAAATTCCTTCCTCTTGGGGTCCGCATCGAGTTCATACAGCTGGGGAAGGACCAAGGTCATTCTCCAGCTCCACTGGCCCCCTCCCTCCTGGAACCCCAATTCAGGTGGTACCTTGGACGAGAGTACTGGGTGAAAGGATGGATGGAATCCAAATGTGAATTCTCTGGCCCTAGACCCACCCGCAGAAGCAGGCGGGGTGCCTTTATCTAATACATCAAGACACCTGTCCTAGCTCAGTGGTACCTTAGGTGGCTTAAACCTTGCATCTGGCAAATATGGGGTGGCAGGAAGGTACTTCAGTGGCTCAGCCTGCTCTTCAGGACAGAGTCCTAGCCATCCTAAGGATGGGCATCCAGAGTCCCAGGAGGGAAGCCATGCTCCACATCCAGGAGACTGATGAGTATCTCAGGCACTTACACATTCTCCTTAATCTGTATAAGGGCTCCATGCAGTTCATATCCTTGTGGGCCAGGATATGAGCTAGGGTGAGTGAGTTCAGGTAGGAAGGAGGCTGGGGAACTCCTTATAGGCGCCATCTTGTCTGATCTCCTTCCAGAGGTGGTTACTGTGCCTACTATAAAAGCTATCACATGACACATGCCATGGCCACATGGCACACAGAACCTAAGATGTCAGAACATAAATAACCTACTGGTCATCACCACCTCCAACATCAGCCCAAGTCTAAAAGGAACAGTTCCAGAGTAATGGAGTCATTGACTCAGAGTCACAGCTTCTCTGTCTCAGCTATGAATCACATATACAAGTAACATTCCACCCTCCAATAATAACTCTCCAAGTCAAATCCTCCCAGGGTAACAAATCCCAGAGACCCAGCTTGAGAGCCACGCGCACATGACCCAGAGTTCTAAGCCTCACACTGGTACCTACAAGGACACCCACACTTTCTCGGTTGTAAACCCAGAACAATGCCCTAGAGAAACAGCCACTAGAGCTAAATCTCCAGGGTAACAAAGCCCTGAGTGACACTCCTGGTCTTACACTAATGCCACAGAACACTAGCTACAAATTAGCACTTCTAGAAAATACCCCAAACCAACACCCTATGAGTAATACCACTAGGATGGCACACCTGGAAATCACACCATGGTGACAGCCTGTGCTACTGTCCCTGGAATAACACTGGAAGGGTTCGGATTAAGGTCATGTACATAAAGACTGGCAGCGCCCAGTTTTCACGGGGCCCTCAGTTACACTGCGGCTGAACTGGTGGGATTTAGGCCAGGGGAAACACTGGATGGGTCCACCAGCCTGCAAAAGGAGACAGTTGACAGCCTGAGACACTCCCTTTGGTACTTGGTATGGGAGAGGACAGATGAAGTAATGTTGCCATGGATGCCTCACACTCCAGATCTCCCTCCCTCAAAGGCCCTTACATCCATTCTACCTCCATTTGAAGCTCCCCAAGGGCCTCCGATCGCCAGTCCCCATGTTTCTGGGATCTCCTATACCTCTTAGTGAATTCTGTGCACTTTGCACATGTTTCCGTGGGTGTCTGTCCTGACTCAGCACTATCATCCTCCAGTCTTCTCTCTCTCTCTAGATCTCTGTTTTTACGTCCTGCAGATCTGGGAGGGAGGGGCGGACACTACTTTTCCAGAGGGGAGGAAGGAGGGAGCCTGGCAGTGATGGAGAGATGGTTCCTACCTGCTTGAACTGTTCCTCATAGGTCCACTCGTGTGGCTGGAGTCCAGGGGGCTGGTTGGAAGGTGAGTTGGGACACCGGGCTGCTGGATGGCTCTCCTCGGCTGCCTCCTGTTCGGCTAAGGGTGCCTCTCCCTCCTCCTCTTCTTCAGCGTCCTCCTCTTCTTCAGCCCTAACCACCCCCGAAGCCCCCTCAGCCTGTCGGGTCCGGGCGCCAAGCAGGGGAGGCTGTGGAAGCGGTAGGCGTGGAGGGGCCAAAGGCCCCACCCCTTGGGCCAGCCTCGCAGCCTGCTGCCTCTGCAGGGCCTCCATTACGGCTTCCAGGCGCAGTCCCCCTGCTGGGGGGGCTCCTGGTACCAGGCGGGGCCCCGAGGAAAGGGCCGTCTGTGGGGGAGAGAATTATGGGTGCTGGACCTTGCTGCACCCACATCCTACAGCACAAGGGGAGATGCGCACGGAATCAGGGACATGCGTGGAGTTATAAGGGAAGGGTAAATAAATAGATCAAGTGAGCAGAGACAGAGGGATAGATGGCCAGAGACTGAAGACAGGAAGAGGCCAAGCAAATTGGAAAGAGTAACAAGGGCCAAGGAAGAGTGGTGCAGGGAGATGGGGCATACAAACA